CTTATCTCTGATACAATCTCAAGAATGTTAAAACCCCCCCTCCCCCCAATTGACGAAACGTGAAATCCGCGAATTAAAACCCTTACCTGTTGTGATGACTCATTCTTCTTATCTCAGGAATTTAAGGAATGTGACACTTTCTCTTTTCCAGGAATTGTAAAAAAAAATGATTTATGACCTTTTGCACTTAACCCTTCTTATCTTTGATACAATCTCAAGAATGTTAAAAGCCCCCCTCCCAATCGACGAAACGTGAAATCCGCGAACTAAAACCGCGAATCAAAACCGCGATTTAAAGCCGCGAATTACAACCGTGAATCAAAACCGCGAACTAAACCGCGAATTAAAGCCGCGAATTAAAACCGCGAATCAAAACCGTGAACTAAACCGCGAATTAAAACCGCGAACTAAATCGCGAATTAAAACCGCGAATTGAAACGCGAATTAAAATGCGAATTAATATACCCCACCGCCCCACCATCCACTCATGGGGACTCTCCCATAGCTCTTGACCCCCGAATCGACGAAAAGTGAAATCCGCGAATTAAAACCGCGAATCGAAACCGCGAATTAATTAATCCCATCTCACCACCCATTCGCGGGTCACCCCCAGATTCTTCCCAAAATGGTTGGGCCAGAACCGGCCCTATACCTCTACTTTCGCTAATTTTTTCGACCCAAAAAATTTTTTTTCTCGATTTTTGGACCATTAACGTGGGATTAACGTGTAGTAACGGGTTGCAGCTAGCTGCATGCACCAGGAAATTTCAAATCAACTTCAAAAAATAGAGGAAGATAAAAGGAAACATTCTTGAAGGAGATTTTACCATATGGTAATTGTACGGACTAAAAAAACTGTTTGTCTCCCAATATCTGGAGTCCTTGAGACCAGGGAGGTGGTTTTCGCCATGCATGCAGCCGAAAATTTTATATAAATTTGAAAAATTAGACGAGGATGGAAAGATACCCTGGTATAAGGGATTTTACGATACAGTAGAGTCTCCCTATGATTTCGGCTTCGGGGCTAACCACTCTGCGCACTGAAACGTCCTGGAGCCCGCCACTCATAGAGAGAGTGTAATCTGCCTGTTTCAATTCTCCCGTAGTTCCCGTCACGCCGAGGGGCACACGCCTCTACACTACCACTACACGTTAATTGCGGAAAGTACATTCCTCTACTGAAATTCTAGGGAGTATCTACTGTACAATCATTTTTTGGACTACACCAAAATTTTTTATATTATTTTGTATATATATATATATATATATATATATATATATATATATATATATATATATATATATATCCAATCTCAATTCCAAATTCTCAAAAACCCACATGTGACGAAATTTCTGTCGTAGAGTCATTTGTATCAAAACCCTCGTTTTAACGTCAAGAATGAAATTTTTCGTAAATATTGCTCATGCGTTTAGTGCACAGTGTACTTCAGTATGCTTTGAGATACTCAGAAGATTTTATCATTGGACTTTATGTTTTCTCGGTTGCTGGTTGTAAATACGATAACCGTTCTTGCGAAACCATGCGCTGATTTATTGGTTAATAATAACATAATTGTTTAAAATACAATATCGCAGAAACGGTAAGAGACAGGGCAAATTTTTTCAGTTATTAGTTCGCGAATTTTCCAGAACAGAGCTAAATTTTACATCACCCAAAAAATACATTGAAAAACTATGAATATTGTTGAAATGGCAGACAAATATGCCAATACAGAGAAAAAATCAACCTTGGCATAGGTTCAACTTTTTATTCCCATAAATTTTTGCACTTATTGTTATTTATTTCTCTACACATAGTGTAATGTTTTTTTGCAATTCCAAAAATACTCATAATTTTGTGATATATTTCATCCGTTATGTGACTTTGAGCTCTCTTCTTAATAGTTCCATCCGATAATGCCAAAAAAAAATCCTTCTTTCTCTCACGGTTTCTGCGATATTGTGTTTTGAACGATTACATTTTTGTGAACGAATAGACGGGGCATGATTTAACAAAAACGGTTATGAAGTTACCAGAGAGGGTTACTGGAGAACAAAAGGTCCAATCATAAAATCTTGTGGACATTCCAATAGATGTACGAGTGCCCCTAATACCGTACGGAGTAACCTGACTTCCGTCAAGAATATCTTCTGAATGCATAAAGCTAGAAAAAAAACGACGAATGAAAAATGGGGGTAATTATGTGATCCATCTATTGAGTTTTGTGACATTTGGATCCATTCCTAGTAGTCGATGAGATAATTACATAATTCAATGGTAAAAAAAATGCTAATTTGCCCCGCAATTTCTTTCATAAAAAATTGAATTTCTTGAAAACTACTGGAAATAATTGAGAAAGTCGTATAATTGATCTGATGTATCTTTGAGTTAAGAACATTTTTCTATCTTGATCATATTTTTCTCCCTTTAACTATTTCTCTGAAGAATACTCCGGAGGGCGTTGCCACCGTGTTAAAGCGCCACTCTTCGGAATTGCATCCGCGATATCTTTGCAATCATGCTAGCAATAAGAAATATTTATTCCACAAAAAATATTTTTATCTTGGGAAAATAATTTTTTTTGGTTGTAAAATTTTGCTCATAGATATGTCGGCCTTTCCGCGATCTTGCATTTTAAACAATTGAATCGTTACAAACAAATAGACAGCGCGTGATTTCGCAAAATGGTTATCATATTTGTGATCGTCGACCTTGGAAAAAATGTTAAAATCTTCTGAACATTTCAAAAGACACATAAAAGCCCCTGGCGTATGTCCTAATTGAGGGAAATTCAAGATTGTGTCGCAAATGCATGGATTTGTCGCAAACTACGTTGGGCTCCTCTTAAAATCGACAGTTCTTGTGGCAAGAAAAACACTCGCGAATGAATTTCAATTGCCACAATCTGAAGAATTATTCGAGAAAAAATTTTGTTCTTCAGTACAGGTAATTTGTTTTTCAAGTGAAACAATTCATCAAAGAAGTCATCAAAAATTACGCCAGCGAATCTTAATAATTACTATGTCAATAAGTTTTTTCGCGGTGAAGTAAATATAGCAAATTTTCACTTTCGTCTGTTCTCATATCGTTTGCTGCGTTTCCAGAAGAAAATATAGTACAAGTGCATCAAATTTCTCTGTGCAGGAAACTGTAATTGTTACTTCCATACATATCATTTATTTACCGAAGAAATCGTGAGATATCCTTGATTGAAAGAATTTTTTAGTGAATTACATTTCGCTCCACGGTTACGTTCCGGACAATAAAATTGGCCGAACTTTTCTAGATAATTTTTCCTCAACTTTCCTATGCGTATCAGTTTATTCATATTACGATGAGCTCAAAGGTGAACCACCTTCGAATTGAATTATCCTCTTTTTTCCTACTACATTACTGTCATACCAATTTTTATTCATGTATGTCTATCTAGCCAGTTCCCTCCAAGCCAAAAGCTAGTCAACTGTGGGTATTGCATATCAAGTTGAAACCTAACGTGGTGAGTTACAGAACATTTTTATAAACAAACTGTATGGGTTATTTATTTAACCTACGTTCTACATATCATCCTAGGTTTTACCTGCTGTGTACGCCTATTGTAATGGAGCCAAAGGTGGTTTATACAAAGCGATTCTGGCAAGGCTAGTGGAACTAGCACCCGGTTTGAAACACAATCTGCATACAATTGTCACAGATTTTGAAGCAGCCGAGATAAACGCGATCCGCAGTGTCTTCCCTACGGTTCGCTTGAGGTGCTGCTGGTTTCACTACACTCAGGTAATTCACTTCTATGACTATTTTATTATACAAACAGCGGAGACTAAAATTTCTATTTACATAGAGGGAACTCTGAAATCAAACACGATTTTCGGAATACTTCCCAATGAATTACGTCATAAGAAACTATTTCTCCGAGCCCAGTGCAAACGCATCCCAGGATTAAGTGACCCTTTCTTTGACAAAAGTACCTCGGAAAGAACACGGTCCTCCCGTAAGGTTCCTGTGGTTTTTTTGTTTATTAGTAGTCCTGTTGCCATGAATTCAGTTCTACATTTATACGTTGAAAGGCTATGTCTCTGGGAAAGGGCCAACGCACGGAAGTAGAGTATATAGCATTAAAAAGAATGAGCAATAAAAGCCATTTGTTATTATGCATTGAAACATTAACTTTAGCGTGTTGAAAACAAAATTCCTTTCTGCTTATTTCTGGTTAGGCATCTTTATTTCTTATCTCCCATATTTTCTCATATGCATCGGTCTTGAGGGACAGCCGTTCAGCCTTTGCGATCGTTCTGCGATAGATTGGCGATGTTTTCCATCACCCCATTGGTCGTGTGCATATGACGAATGCCGATGGTTGTGCTGCAAACTCTACTTCATTTTTGGCAGAAATAACGGGTGTACTTATTAGACATTTTCCTCACATCATAGTTCGTCGAGATTGTAAAGAAATTTCATCATGAAAAAATGAAAATTCTAACAATCAGGATCGTATTTGATGCATATATGAAATATAGAGGGGAAACATATGCATGGAGATCCTCACTTCAAAAACTTACGATGTTTGAAATCCACTGGCGTCTCCCCTTAATAAAAGTCCAGAAAACTCAAGTAAGACAATCATCGAATTTACAGTTAATTGTCAATCTCCATTGATCGATTTGGTAGTGAATATTCATATTTTTCTTGGAAATTCAAGGAAGTGAGGCAATTCTTCCATTGCTGCTGCCCAAAAAATTGCGATTCCATTGAATTGATTAGATTTACTAGTATAGCCAAGCCGAGTCAGGGCACCATAAAATGATGATTATACACGGAGAGAGATTTCTGAGAAAAATTCTGGTGCTAGCACTGGAAAGTGGGCGCAAACTCCCAGCACAGGAATTTTTCTAGTACTTCCATTAATTTTTCTTTTATTTCTAATAATTTTATCATTACTTCCATTAATTTTTAAAAGGAATAAAAGAAAGATTATTGGGAGTACTAGAAAAATACCTGTGCTGGTAGTTTGCGCCCACTTTCTAGTTCTAGAACGAGAATTTTTCTCGGAAATACTAGAAATTTTTTCAGAAATTTCTCTCCGTGTACTAGTGAGGTACGTTGTTGATCGCTCGCTGCACTTGCTTCCGAAAGTAGGTGCGTTAACGATGATGGGTTGAAGTGAGTATGACCCATTGGAACCGGATCAAAAGTTTCCCAATTCGTCTCTTTCGCGCAGGAAATTACTCGTCTATCTCTATAACATCGTGAAAACCTGAACAATCGCTCAATCGATTTCAACCAAGATGTGGACCTTGTGACGCCGAGATCCATCCATCGTATTAAACATACGTCACATCATATCACTTTGAAAATGACACACTGAACCGTTCCGAAAAATGTACTGTTCATGCAGGTATCCCAAAAAAGAATGAATACAAACTTATGAGATTTAATTTTCAGAAACAGTAGATTGTTATTTTTCTTGGGGGAAATTTGATGTATTCTGGAAACATTTCAGACAGTAACAAGATATTGGTACGACTTAAAACTGGAGGACGCTCCTCAGATGATCCTTTTTTTCACATGGGCCTTGGCCTTGACACCCCCCGAAAAATTTCAGGAAGGTCTTCGGATAATTTACAGCCGAATCCTGCTTCATTCCGAGAAATTCCCCAATCTACTGAAGTTTCACGCTTACCTTCAGCGTCAATGGTTACCTAAAGCAGTTCTGGTGTGTGTTTTTGAAGAAGATGATCGAACCAACAATTCAGCAGAAGCGTGCAATCGCCATCTGACTGATGAACTTGGAGGCCGTAAGCCAACTCTTTGGACTCTTTTCTGTAGGTATCGAATATTTGACCATCTCTAAATCATAGAGTGTGAATTGAAAACAGCTTGTCATTACCAGTCAATTTGAAGCAATACATCGAACAGACTGATGCAAAGTTGACTCGTGTTCAACACAATATTAAAATTACCAAGACGTATACCATGCAGAAGCAACGAGAAGATAACGAGAGAATCAGAGAATGCCAAAGAAAATTATCTAATGAAGAGTGTGTATCAGTATAACTATAAGTAAGCGTGGACGTCTCCATAACAAGTACTCACTCTGTTGCATTTAAGCAGATATTCATGTTTTTATGTGAAATCAACAAGTACCATTTGAAGTATTGTTTATATATTTTTTTAATTCTCGGCTTCGATAATGTCATAAGTTTTCCCATAATCTGAATCATATTTATCTACCAATGTGTGGAATACGACAAATTACGCACATCTAATAAAGCAAATGCTTCCGAATTGGGAATTTTTTATGCAGACACCCACAACGAATCTTCACTTATTGTTTCGTTATTACAATCAATTGATTTCTGTAATTTCCAGATTGGATATGGAGCAATTCTTTTTCGACATAATTACTGAGGAAAGACAGCAAGAAATATTGACAGAAATGGAATCCTTAATAGGTAATCAATTTTCGTTTAATTTCTTCCAGTAACAAATAACGATATCAGGAAGAGAACCGTATTGACTCCCCATTTATGTACAGCAATTGTTTCAGTGGAACCACATGAGTTGGCTAGTAACGAGATGTTGCTCTATGCAGAGAATTTCAAACCAGGTACCTACAGATTTAACTCATACACCAGTTCAAACACCGGTTCCAAGAAGTTCTGAATTGCAGTGAATTTTCATTGGATTTCATTGAATTTTGACTGATTTCGAGAGAATTTTTGCTAAAAATGAGAGAAAACTGTTTTAGTTCTCCGTAATTTTAACTGAAATCCAGTACCTATGATACTTACTCAAGGCACTTTGGTTCTGGAATCGTTGGGTACTGAAATTAAGAAGGGGTTAATAAAATAAGAACCTTGATGTTCTTCAATTGTCACCCGTGCCTCCTCTGATTATCACTTTCAATTATGGGGTGACATTACAACCTAGGTCAACCCCCCTCCGTCACGGATTGGCGCAAATTGCAGAACTTTCTCCCTTCCTCAGTCGCGTGACGTAATACGTAAATGCCCTCAACAGTTCTTATGTTGATAACCCAGGGTTCTTGATTCCTGTACCCAGCGGTTTCAGTACCACCGTTCTGGAATTAAGAACTTTTCTCACTGGAACTCTCTAAATTTTTTTTTACATAATTTCAGTGATTTTTTCACTGGAACTAAGTAACTTGTTTCTGGATCTCAGTGTCTGCCCTCGAAACTCACGAATTTCTGGCTTTCAGTAGAGTGGTTATGGAAACTAGAAACTTTTTTTCTCTGTGACTACAACTATTATTTTTGATGTAGTTCCAGAAACAGAAGAATATGGCACTGAGAAAAGTAGTCGTGGTACGAGAGGCAGAAGAGGATGTGAAAGAAGGGGAAAGGGTTCCAGGGGATGCCATGTGCCTCTCAAGAAGAATGTGCCCAGTATTAACGGTGCTGAAGGGAATGGGACAAGCTTCAAAGTCACACGGGGAAGAGGTTCGAGAAAACGCCGTGTGCCGCCCACGGCGACGGTCATAAGTAATAGTGGTACTGAGAAGAATGACACCATCACAAAGTTCCCACTGAAGAGTCACCTAATTGCGATAGGTAATTTCTACGAGGATATTTCCCATAGAATTATTTTACCGCTGACAGTCAACCTCACAAAAGTTCAAACACCCTACACGACATTAAAGGCGTCGATAAATGCAACATTGTGGTATTTTGTGAGATGGAATTGGATAAATGTAATTCAAGAGGCTGGTCATTCCTCATCCTGATCGCTCAGTGGTTTCCAGAATGGGTTGCTTTTTTGTGATTTATTGAATGATTTCTGTGATTAATCAATCAGAATAGAAATCATGGTTGCTCGTGATTCTCATCATTTTTAGTGAACTGCACTGATTACTCGATTTCAAAAAATTAATCGAGGAATCATAATTTCTGGCAGCGTCGAGCGTCTGTCGAGAATGGTAGTTTATTACATGACGTTGTAATTAACGTGTAATTGACGTAATGAATGTTAAAAATGTGAAAAATGTCACTTTTCATCCCAAACCGTGAAGCTTCGCGAAGGTCATACGTTACGAGGATCACACCTCGCGAGAATCATACGTCGTAAGGATTATACCAACGGTTATATCTCGCGAGAGTCAAACATGATCAGAGTCATACCTTGTGAGAATCATGTCTAGCGAAAGTCATACGCCGCAAGGGTTATCCCTCGCAAGGGTCCAACGTCTCGAGAATCATCTGCGCTGTCGAAAGGACACCGGTCGAGCTGACCCTTGCGAATATCCCTAATGTGGATATCTCGGGCGTATAATTTTTGATAGTCGTTTGACAGGCGTTGTCATCTCCTGTCCCAACATTAATTTGTGTAACATTTTATTAAATCACAGAACTTATTCAATTATCTTCGGTCGCTTTTTTCAAGGCCTCAAATGATAACGTGAAAAATGGAATAAAGCTCAATAGATCATGAGATTAACCTCCGCACAATAGAGATGACTTTTGTGACCGAGAACCGCGTTCTAACCGAATGAAGTGAGCTTGGATTTCGCGGTTTATCGGTCGTAGTGACATAAAATAGTATTTCAATTCAACATTTATCAATGATTTCTAATAACCTTATATTCTTATGATTCATACCGATTTCGGATCCTTTCAAGAAGTCATTAGACATCACTGCCAACAATGGAAATCGCTTGATTTCCAATGATTTCTCCTGATTTCCGACTGAATGATCCAATGATTTCCTGAGTGATTAGCCCCTCGGTATAATTCCGGTTTAAACAAAAACGAAAGAACACGGAGAAGATCATATCTGTGAATTGCACTGCAGAAAAAATCGTAAAATAATGGAAGAACAGTTTTTCAATCCCCCAATCCTTGAAAAAATTGACATTAACTTTTGAGAGGATGAAGATCAGCTATTAAGTGTTTTGAAATGCAATACCTTATATTCATAAAATCAATTAAAAACTAGTGAACTAATGGTGGTCACAGAGTTGAGAGAATTATTGTTATTATTGTCACCGTAGAGTCAAAAGTGCGTAAAATCTATGCGTATGCACACCTTTCACGCCCCTTTGGCTCTCTAACGACGATGTGATTATTTGTCGATGTTGAAAAGGTCAAACACTGCATACAGTACAAAGTTCCCCTCAACTCCAGGAGACCCTTCTTGATGAGGACAACTCATTAGCCAGGAGAGCGAAAATGGAAGAGGGTAGCCACGAAGACCAAAGAGTAGGTTAGTAGTACATTCTTTGTCGCATAATTAATAATAAGATGAGTGAATAAGCTTTAAACTTGCTTTCATTTTGATAATACTCACCTTAGAACTTCTCCAGATCTTTTAGAGCTCCCTCTTGTCGATGAAGGGATAGTTGATCTGCAAGTCTTAGACTGGGATCTACTGGAAGGTGCCGAAGGTAATTGTCTCCCCCCCCCTTTAAAAAAATTCTCGAAGTTATGTACGAAACTTGAGAACAACTGCTTTAAGAAAAAAAATATATTTCCTATTCCAGATTCGTTGAATGTACAAGAGTAAGAAGTGTGATAGAGGTGTACAATGTATAGGAGTCGAAAATAAAAAAATTTCGATGATACTTTTTTCTGAAGTTCCATTCAAATAACTATCGAATCGCTGAGACGATTTTGCTCATAATCTGATCAGGTTCAAGGCGCATCGATGGGTATAGAAGCAAATTTGATTCTCGTCGTTTATTTAAGAGAAATCGTATCACAAAATTTGTTCACAGAAATACACACACACATACACCCGCGCACATGTTCCTGGAAACGTTAGAGGAAGATCCTAGAGGTCTTGAAACGTGGAGATATGGTGAAATTTCCAATTTCGATTTTCGGGGTCATTACAATAACTTTCCTATAATCGGGAAGTTGATAAATCAGCTTATATCTACCAGAAACTACACTGTACAGCAAATTTGTTACCGGAATACGTTAGGATTAATACTTATCACGGAAAATCTCTAATACCAATAATTTCCAATGCACATTGAAATTCATGGACAGTGTCTTAATGCTTATCATAAGCGAGTATAGTGCGGAAGGGAAGAAGGTAGTTTGATGCCGACAACTACTCGCATTTATATATCGAACGCTCTATTCCTTACTTATATATTGAAAAATGACAACCAATCTGAAAATTACACCCGATAAAAAGATCATACGGTTGATTTTACCAATTATTACTTCGGTTTTGAACCTTAAGAATTTTAATTCCATGAAGGCTTCTTTATCGTTTCCTTAAAACTGAAAAGACCCTAAAAAAATTACCTTTTCTTTTTAGAATTTTATTAAGTACAGAAAAGATTTTGTTTTCATTTTTGTTTCAGTTTTCCACGAAATTTTAGAGATAACAATTTTCTTTGGCCCTCCACAAGGTACTTTAGACGGAAATTTTCCGTTCTTCAGACTAAGCGTAATTTAAATTAGCTGACACCATCGAACGGTCGTTTTATGCTCAGAGGATGTTCATCTATAATTTCCAATGAGTATCTACTCAAAAAACCCTGCAGTGATTGTTCATCATATGAGGATTTTCTCCCTCGATCATCTACCCAGATTACAGTACGATGTGTGTTCGATGTTTTGGTGACCTAACTCGAATCCACGGCGATAAACTTGAGTACTTTCAGGAGTTATTTCGAAGAAGTGAATGCTGAGATTTAAAGACAAATTTCTTTCGATGATATAGCAGTATTCTTCATAGAGCCACCGATTGGAGACTAGTATCATATTTGTTCGACTTTTGAGCACTGTTTAATAATGAATTACTACCATGAATACCGTACAATAACCTATGAACTTCTAGCAATCTTTTCCAATAAAAACCAAGCTCATGAATCAGTTGTTGTACCCGGCGTGGGGGTACTCCTAATTATAGGTTGGTCCTAGGCTTCAAGGAATAAATCCTGATAATAGTAGATAGGCGAATAAATTTGAATTCATTAACCAATTATGATAAATCTGTCATCTAACTGAATATAATGAGTTGCAGCCTTCGTGAGCGTCGGAGTGCAACCCAGATGCAATCTATGTATACCCAAATAGCGGCTTATCACATACATTATTCGTTTGCGTTTCGTAACTTGGTCAGTATAATCCAACCATGCTGGTCAGTGTCGAACTGAAGAAACTCATTGTCAATAAATTCAAACATAACGCAATAAGCCAAATCAGGGCGATAAACCAGTAAAAGAATAATTCACTGATTTAGCGATATTCTGCCTTCCACAACCATCCTCAGTTTAGTACGATAATTGTTGTTTGGCGAGAGCTTATGATTGACCTGCTGCACAATTTTACCATAATTTGATGACGTTTCACGTTGAGCAACAGCCCTAAGTCTATATAATCTTCCACAATCTCGTCTCGTATCATCTCGTAAGCGCCCTACTCCTGAAGGGCCAATATGATGATTATTCGATATTAAATTCTAGAGTGTTGTCTTGAGTCCTATGATGAACTTCTACAAAGTTCGGCAATTTTTCTCAACGACTGGACACTGCAAGTACCGTGAGTGTCCCAATTGCCGCACGGTTAAGAATATTCTACCAGACAATAGCGTTTAATTTGTGTTTTTTTTTTTAATTATGAATTCTGAAGGTTCATGAGTCATCTTTGATCATTTCTTGACAAAAAGACATTCGATTTCAACTTTAATTCCGAAGAATTCGATAAATATTCATAAAAAACCATCATAGCTCTTATGGTCGAGTTCTCGGACGACTAAAACTGACCTAGCCGGGTTGCCGGATATCGTGTGCCCGATTCTCGGACACAGTGAAATAGAGGCAGAGAAATATAGGAAATCAGTTGTGAAAAGTATATTAAGTGTAATTTTATTACTATTTCAACAATGATAAACTGTGATCAACACAATAATAGACAAACAAAAACGTTGAGACAATAAAATATTTGAGTTTATGGTTCATTTAGAGGGATTTTTTCGGGAGGGCTGTGAGAATCGTTAGCGTCTCCACAACTATTATCTAAAAGTTCTTTTTTTTTCATCCCAGAGTCCTTCCTGAATTGACAGTCTTAAGAGATTTTCGCAAGTCCTCATTGGTATATTTGCGGGCTTTTTTTTCTGTATTTCCAGGCCTAGAAGATTCAAAAAAATGGATGAATTTGTTATATTCGTTATTTTTATTTTTATTCTCATAATTTTTTCATTATCTAATGCACGAGAGTTTCAGAAAATAATATATCTTTATGAAAGCAAAGAAACTGACAGAAAAAAAACATTGAGGTTAAGGGTTGGAAATCACATGTGCGGGAACTCCTCCAACCGCGAATTCAGTCGTCCGAGATGCCGGATTTAACATTTCCTCCATAAAAAACAATTATTTTTCTCTTTTTTTCATTTCAGCTTTTTCCAAATTTGTTGCTCAACTACTAGAAACCTATTAAAATCAATTGTTCACTTACATTTTGCTGGTTGATCCTTACGCAATATCGATGATTTTTAACGTTCGCGCTCTACACAACCACCAGCTCAGAGACCAGCCATGGGTACTCTTACATAGATTAATTTCTAATAATTGTATGAAACTCGTGGAACATTCGTCAATAGTGTGATTTGAAGGGGACTAATTGGACAATCGCATGTAACAAAATGAAATGCACATGATGACTGTGAATATGTGATAAATGCTAAATTCTATCCTAAGAGCGCTCTGCGTCCGGGAAAGGGGTCCCGTGCGGCAATTGGGACACTCACGGTATAATGCAAAAACTCTTCGATGCAATGGTGATGAACAATTGCTTAGAGTCCAGTATGATGAATGAGCGATATTTTGGTTGAGTTATATAATTATTATGTCTAGGAATTCTTTGATGTTTCGCCGATCTTTTAGCCATCTTTTCAAGTCAGTGATTATTTCGAGCCGAGCGCGACAATTTTTCGAGATTTTGGCGGTGGTTCGCTAAAGCATTGTTTATCATCCACTGTCAAAATGTTACAATGTTTCAATAATTTTCTTCGATACTATCCTTTGTCCAAATTTTTCCGAATTCATACACTTAATTGAACCCCATTCAGTCATTCTGCGAGATTAGGGTATCGTTTTACGATAACTGATTGCTCCGAATTAAATACTATAATTATTACATGTTCCTCTGATGTTGAAGTAATTGCTGCGTTCCCAGGCCGAACATTGTTCGACGTTTCAGCGATAGCTTTTTTATTCACGGTTGTATATAATAACGCCCTTCGAAATGACGATAGTAATCTCTTCCAAAGATTGATCACTCTGAGTCGTGCTTGAGATTGGTCTAATTTTTTATCAATGGATCATGATAAAATACTGCCTTGGCCTCATGGAAGAATGTTACGGGTGTTCAGGCGTTTAACCAAAATGCAATTGCCCACAGAAAAAGATAACGATTCTTCGACAGTATAGCGATATTGTTCCATGAAACACTGCGCGAAAACTATTGCGATCATGTATACTATTACGATATTTTTTAGAATAAATGTAAATCATTCGTAGCTAAATGTGACAAATTGCCTGCGCTATTTCGAGGTTCTTTCTTGAAAAACAGCACGGAATTAAGTAACCCGATGGAAAAATATATGTGAAATAGTATGTTATGGCATTAGACCCATGATTCATATATGAGATTCATATATACAATCACATATATATGAGTATATCGTTCATATATGATCCATATATGCATATATATTTCTCCATATATTTTTTCACGTATACAACAAAATATACAATTTTTTTATCTGACTCATATATAATACATATATTTCATATATGACATATATGTCTTATATATTTTCAACATATATTCATTTCCACGACGGTAGCTATGGGTGTCCGATGTTTTGCCAATGCCCTAGCAATGTTTTCCAAATGAGTGATTGCTCCGCGTTCTCCGCGATAATTGTTCGATGTTGTCGTTATATTTTTATAAAACACAATGACCGCAAATTCAGGATGATGGCTGTTGGTTTTTTTTCAACGAATATATAGAATAATGCACTATTTTCAATCTTTTACCATCATCATATTTACACGGAGATTTGACTATTTTCAACAATATGTCACTCAAAGTCCATTGTAATCTTTCTCCGATGGTATGGCGATGTGGTTTCTTAACGCATTGCGCAAAAACTGATGCCATAGTTGTTCGATGTTTCGCACGGAGAGAAATTTTCTAAAAAAATTCTAGTGCGAATACTGGAAAAAATCACAATCCACCCACTGTGAAAAATTCTAGTGCTATTAAGGTGGAATTTCCGAGGTTTTATGTGAAATTTTCATAGAAATACACGTACGGAAAAATTCACGTCCTCCCGAATAACATTTCCAGTGCCAGCACTGGAATTTTTCCCTGGCTGTTACTTTGTGCCTCTTTTCCCATGCTAAAACAAAACGATTGTTGTCGCTGATATATCGTTCTTCTATAGTACTACTGTCCCACCGATGTTTAATCAATTGTTGCAGGTTGATGGCAATAATTGTTCGATGTCCATGTCCATGTTTCGATAATAGTCTCTTTTGAGCCACTACACAGAACACAATTCTTCGATTCTATATGAAGATGTTCTCCCCAACCACAA